CTTGTCTTCCTGGACCATTCTCTTGCCTTCACCATGTTTGTAACCACACCAGTAAATGTCTAGAAGGAGCTGAGTATCACAGTCATTTTAAAGCTGCCTAATTGGTGCTTATTATGCTTGATTGCTGCTCGGTGACATCCACAGGTGTTTTCAATACCTGATGGAAAGCACCTGTATGAACCTCTGTTCTTCAGAGTGGTAGTCTTTAAGGGGTTGAATAATTGTGGCAATGAAGAAACCACATAAGAACCATTTACTACTGTATTACATAAACAATTGATGTCATTTTAGTTGCATTTGGGTAGTTACAACGTCCTTGTAGGATTTGATTCTGAATACAATTCCAAATGTACACTATAGTCCCTAAACCCCTTTACAGCATTGGGGGTTGAATAATTTTGGCCACAACTGTACAACCAAATATTAATTAAGTGATTCAAAGGAAAGCAAAATCTTCCAACATTTTTCAGTTTATATAGTGAATGTTTGAGTTTGTAAAGAATACAAACGCTGCTATTTTTTTGAACAGTCTAATATTCACTTTTCTTCAATTTTTTTTAGAGGAACAACACAAATTTGATCTATTTTTCTTCATGTTTTGATTTGGAATAGAATGTGTAGTATTCCCAATGCATTTGTGTGTATGGAAATAAAAGCTATTAGAAGGATTTTGAGCTTTAGTCACTTTTTTCAACACACTGCTATTATTTTGGTTTTCAGTTTAATACCGCTTTAAAACTCCCAAAAAATTTATATTTTCTGAAAGCAAACACTCTGGAGAATACAATAGTAGTAAATTTTTATGACACACAGCATTAACAAAACCATTTATAAAGTGAATAAATACAGTAAAAAAATTCCTTTATCCGCAGCACATTACAAAACACTCATCTGCTGTTGATATAGTTGCCCCTTTCCTTCTCCATACATGCAGGGTGTCTGGAAATACTTCTTAGTAGCTTTTACCCCTCTGTTAAGACAGAGGGGTGGGATGTTGCAGGGTTCCCCCAGTGGCAGTTCTGGCTGGATCAAATACTGCACGTGTATAGTAGACATGTGCAGACCGGAAACATTTGTTTAGATTTATTTTGGATAAATTTGTTATGTTACTAATTTTGTTTCGTTAATTCATTTTGGAATTAGTTTAGCTTAATTTATTTTCATTTATTAAATTGTCTAATGATTTCCAATTTTTCAGAACGATTCGAATTCTAATTGTTTGAAAATGTATTAACCGATCCAAATTCTGTGTGAAGAATAGCTGGTGGTTAAGGAGTGGGCCAGCCGCAAGGTCCTTAACAACCAATGTGATTTCCCCACTGACAGCTGAATGTATACAAAAAAATCCATAAACCTGGAGTGCTGTGCTACATTAATACATAAATATACTAATAATTCCTCCTACTAGTTTTCATCTGGATATGACATACAAACAATTGCCACCACCTCCTGTTATTTATGAAATTCAACCAATGTGCAACACACCAATATATAAAGTAACACACCAATATATAAAGTAACACACCAATATATAAAGTGTTCATCCGAAGATAAAGTGCCCCTGTGGATAACATTGTGTTCAAAGTGATTAATAACAGTTCAACAAGAATATTCCATCCAACAGATGAAATTTCCGTGTGGAATGTAAAAAGTGATCAATTCTTCAGTGATTCCCACCAACTTTCAGTCTCTGTTCTTCACCTTAATTTCTGACCTGTCACCATACGCCTTCCCCTTTAAGGCTCTATGTGATGATCAAGACTTTTTCCTCCTCTCTACTTCTGTGCTTTTTATGGATATACCATATCCTCAAACTGTTCCATTGGGATCTTTTCCATCATTCACTCAGATACAGCAAGAATCCATTCATAGTGCTTTACCGTTTAAAACCACCATATATGTATTGAAACAATAACATTTACACTCACAACTCTAGTGCACTATGAAACAGTAGTGCACTACTTAATATCGCAGTTAGAAAATTCCAAAACTAATGTCTCTATAACCACTAGCCTACAGGGCACTTACAGTATACCCCCTTCCTGCCCAGGCCAATTTTCAGCTTTCTGTTTCAATATTTTTTATTAAGAAAGTTATGTTTTAAGAATACAACAAGCTCAAGATACGCCACGCAGGGGCAGAGCAGAACAATAACACATAAACAGATACATCCTGCTGACTTGTATTAGCCAAATAACAAAATGTCCAATGACATCAAGGAAGGACAGCAAAAAGCCGAACCAAATAATAGCAGCAGTAATCCAACATAGTACCGGAAAAAGAAGAGAAAAGAAAAAAGGTTAGAAGAAAGGATAAAGAACATAAAATTACAAAAAAAAGAAAAAGGAATTAGAAAGAAAAAATGGAGGAAAGAGAAACTAGAAGAATCACGGATCCAGGGCAAGCACAGGCAGCAACTATAAGAGGCCATAACTAGTAGGAGACAGGGATGGCAAGGAATAACGTATCCAAGAATCTCAAAGCTTAAGGTATCTTGGATGAGAATCATGAAGAATGCTAGACATCTGTTCATTGATCAACATAGCATTCATCTGGGTCTTCAACCCCTGGAAGACAACCGAAGGGGTTCTCTAAGCTTGAGCTATAGCACGTTTGGCCGAAATAAGTAGGTAGGATGCCAACTTTTGCTGAGACCTAGACAGACCCAAAATTGGGCAATGCAGATGGCCACCCTTGCATCCCTATGGACCGTAATATGAAATAGCGTTTGTAGCAAACCAAAAACCCTAGACCAGAAGCCTATCAATCGCGGGCACAACCACCAAATGTGCAAGACGTCCCCCGCGTAGACCACAGTTCCGGAAACACCTATCTCCTCCAGTCGGATTAAAGTGAGCAGTCCGCGCTGGGACCCAGTACCACTGCAGGAGAACTTTGTAGGCTGCCTCTGCCACAATCAAGACACCCAGATCTCGCTCCCATTGAGAGACATAAGACAGGGGTGGTGAGGAGGACCTACTGTTAAAGGAGGCATAAATTACAGAAATGAGACCAGGGGACCTTGGGGAATGCTGGCAAATGTGTTCAAAGGACGTTTTGTGCTAAGGGTATGTAGAAGTACGACGGAGGGATAGGACTCAGTGGCGCAATTGCAAATACTAATAGATAATAAATAGATAATATTCCCGTGGCGGGACCCTCCTTGATTCTCAAAGAGACTTCCATGATGGAAACGTACAAGTGCTCAGAAAATCATGTACAATAACAAAGCCATGGGAGGTTCACCAAGAGAAAGAAGGGGGATGTTCTAGGCCTGGTGGAAATAAAGGATTATGCGTAATCGGCAATAGAGGTAGAAATGATGAAATCAAATTACCTGAATATTTTACAGAATCCCAGGTTCGTAAACTGTGAAGCATGATAGGGCTCAAATCCGGAGGGCGCAACTTAGGCGGGAGCCAAAGTAATACAGTTAAGGAAAGCGGAGCACAGTTGGGTAATTCCAAGAGTACCCATAACGGGATATCTATTGTGGCATGAAACATAGACAGCTGGGAAATCTGAGCTGCCAAGTAGTATCTAGAAACATGTGGAACTCCCAAACCTCCCTGTAATCTATGAGTATATTATAGAGTGGCCAAAAAGACGCAGGGACCTGAATAGGGAGAGTGCGGAAAAAGTACAGGATCTTCGGCAAGACATTCATCTTGACAGCATGTATTCGGCCAATCCATGATAAAGAAGGAAACTGCCAAGAATGAAGCAGGGAAGTAAAAGAGCGCAATAAGGGGTAATAATTAGCCGAAAATAAGGCAGAGTAGGCGGAAGTAAGTGTGACGCCAAGATAAGCCAGAGAATGGGACGCCCAACGGTAGGGAAATTGTGTCTGCAACCGTTCAACCAGGTCAGCAGGGAGCGTAATATTCAATGCCGTGGTTTTAGACAAATTGATGCTAAGGCCAGATATAGTTGAAAAACGGTCCATTATGACCTGTAGTTTTGGGGAGAGCGATGAGAGGATTGGTTAAAACCAAAAGGGCATGATCCGAATAAAAGTTGGCCTTGTATTGGGTGCCCGCATAGGGGACACCATAAATATCTGGGTGATTTCGAATGGCTGCAGCTAAAGGTTCAAGAGTGTGAACAAAAAGAACAGGTGATAATGGGCATCCCTGTCTCGTGCCCCTGAAAATAGGGAAGGATGAGGAAAAAAAACCTGCATATTTAACAGAGGCCGAGGGAGAAGAGTATAAAGCTGAGATCCATGCCAGAAATACATCACCAAATCTAGACAGCGTATATGTCAAATATTCCCAAGAAAGTGAATCGAACGCTTTATAAATGTCCAAGGGAAAAAGAAACCCTGGTATCCTACGGCGATGTAAAATATGAATGAGATGGATGACTTTACGGATGTTATCAGCAGCTTGTCGCCCCGGAACGAAGCCAACCTGGTCTTGATGAATAAGTGAGAGTAGATAGTTATTAATTCTGATGCTCAGAACCTTTCCCAAAATCTTCAAGTCCACATTTAGCAGCAAGATCGGTCGGAAAGACCAATTTTCAGCTTTCAGCACTGTCACACTTTGAATGACAATTGCAAAGTCATGCAACATTGTATCCATATGCCATTTTTGTAATTTTTATGAGACAAATAGAGCTTTCTTTTGGTGGTATTTAATCATCTCTGGGATTTTTATTTTTTGCTAAACAACCCAAAAACAACTGAAAATTTTGAAAAAAAAAGTTTTTTCTTAGTTTTTGTTTTAAAATTTTGTAAATAAGTGATTTTTCTCCTTCACTGATGTGCGCTAATGAGGCTGCAGTGATGGGCACGGATAGGCTGCACTGATGGGCACTGATAGGTGGCACTGATGGGCACTGATGAGGAAGCACTGGTAGTTGGCACTGATGGGCATTGACAGGCATCACTGATGGGCACTGAAAGGCAGCACTCATATATGGCACTGATAGACGGCACTGACTCGCACTGATAGGCGGCACTGCACTCGCTCTGATAGGTGGCACTGATAGATGGCATTGATTGGCAGCACTGATAGGTGGCACTGACTGGCATTGATAGGTGGCGCTGACTGGCACTGATAGGTGGCAATGAAAGGCAGCTCAGTGGGCCCTGATATGTGGCATTGATGTGCACTGGTAGGCACTGATATGTGGCATTGATGTGGCACTGATGGGCACTGGCAGGTGGCACTGATGAGCACTGACAGCTGACATTGATGGACACTGAGAGGTGGCACTGCTGGGGCTACACAGATCATCAGAGCACACTGATCAGCGGTGCCCTGATGATCAGTGTACATATCTCCTCTGAGGGATGCCGATTACTGGCTCTCCTCTCGAGCTGTCAGCGTGACAGCACGAGAGGAGAGAAATGCTGATAACCGGCATTTCCTTATTTACATGCGATCAGCTGTGATTGGACACAGCTGATCACATGACCGAGCTGACCTCTTCGGCTATTTCCATTGATCAGTGATCCGCTGTGTCAAAGGGACACAGCGCACCATCAATCGCTGCACTGCACGCTCCCGGAGCTGTGTATGCGCGGTTAGAGTGGGAGGACGTCATATAACGTCTATAGTCTTCCCATAAAGGTTCATACCTGTTCCTTAGTGGTACTGGACTGTAGTAACGATACTATTATTCCTCAGGGTATGTTCATGGTGATACCTCTGGGATAGCCATTCTCCCTTGGAGAGGAGTGATAGTTCAATCTAGAGGGGTAGGCTTCTCTACCCGGGTGTCCTCTTTGTCTTCCTCCTCAGTGTCCCCGTCTGTTTCCTCTATATTCTCTCCATTTTGGTGTTCCTGGGTTCCGCTGCTGTTCATATGTCCCATAATTATTTTCATATCCTTCATGGTGGTTGTTCTCACTCCTCCTTCCTTCCATGTTAACCACCCTATGAGGGACTATGGTGTCAGTAGCTATTTATTTCTGTTGCTGTGTTTAATTTTTCTCAGGGGTAGTATTGTTTGAGTGTCATTCCTTAATAGTGTTCTGCCACTTGAACACTTGATTGGACTGAAAATCATTAAGATCTCTCTGATAGTTTTTCCATTTTCTGTTTCTAGTTTCTGTATCTATCTTTTCTAGGTTTTTATTGATAAGATTGGTGATGGTTTTAAACTCTCCTAATTCCTGTAAAGGTTCTAACTTCAGTTTATTTTCCCTAATCTGTTCCTCTATTTTGTTCATTTTTCTGTTTTCTTTTAAAGAGAAAATAAATCACCTCTTGGCCTTTTTTATTAAAAAAATAAACCATCCCTGTGCAGAATCCTCATCAATAAGACCATCACTGATGGGAATGTCCCATCTCAATTTTCTAGGTGCTAGATCTTCCTTTCCTGTGATTAAATCCCACCATATACTACTTTGTTTTCCAGTAATCTTCCCAATCCTCTCATTGTGAAATCTAAATCTCCTGCTGATTTCTTACTCTTATTAAATGCATCAACCAGATTTACATTCCACACGTGAATTTGTACTGTTGGATGGAATATTCTTGTTGAACTGTTATTGGTCACGTTGAACACAGTGCTATGCACAGGGGGCACTTTATCTTTGGATGAACACTTTATATATTGATGTGTTACAGTTGTTACACACACATTGAAGCATGCTAGTGGATATCATTTAAAATTGCACATAAATCTAAGGAGGTGGTAGCAATTGTCTGTATGTCATATCCAGATGAAAAACATTTACTAGTAGGAGGAATTATATGTATATTTATGTAATAATGTAGCTCAGCCCTCCAGATTCATGGTTTATTTATAGGTTGTTTTGTGGGGTCACTTATGGTGCATTATGACAACATTAATTTATACACAGGTTTATGTAATTAGGTTTTTTATATAGGTTGTGCAGAGAATTTATATAATTTACATTAAACAAAAGAATGCTGGCAAAAAAAAAACAGAGTGGGGGTCTCCATCCATACCAGTCCCTTTTGGTCTGGTATGAATTTTTAGGGAAACCCCACACCAAAATGTAAAAAAAAAAAATGTCATGAGATCTCCACAAAATCCATACCAGACCCTTATCCAAGCATGCAGCCCAGAAGGTCAGGAAAGGGGGGGGGGGGTGAGCATGCACCCCTCCCTCCTGAACCATACCAGGCCACATGTCATCAATATGGGGGGTGCTTTGGGGTAGGGGGCTCCCCTCAAAGCACCTTTTCCCCATGTTGATGGGGGCCAGGGCCTATTTCCCACGACCCTGGGTGGTGGTTGGACATTCACACATATATGTTTACCACTGCTCAAGGTAAGGAGACTCCCAATCTCCAAGCACAACTCTTTTTGTAGGTGCTAGCCCAGCTCCTGTGCTGCATAGATGAGAACAAAGGACATCCGATCGGCTGCACTCCAAACGGTCCACTTTATTTAACCAAGATAAAACCAATACAGACAATGGAAATACAGTGATAATGGTTATGCTAAAGACAGTGCTTATTCATTACCCATTGGGGTAATAAGTAAGAGCTGTCTTTAGCGTTTACCTTCCAGTCCCCCACTGTATTTCTACTGTCTGTATTGGTTTTATCTTGGTTCAATAAAGTGGATTGTTTGGAGTGCAGCTGATTGGAAGCCTTTGTTCTCATCTGGGTGGTGGTAGTGGGGGTCTGTGCGTGGCTTATTGGAATCTGGAGGTCCCCCAGATCCCGCCCTCCCATGTGAAACTCTGGTGAAAATACCTGCAAAATCCATCTCTGTGTGTGTGCATGTCCCTACTTACTGATGTTCCCCACCTTATCTCCAGGGCCGACATGAAGGGGAGGGGTGGAACAGCCCATACCCCTGTAGGCGTCCTGGGCGTCCTGAGGGGCCTGGGTGTCCGGGAGCAGCAGGGGGCACCTTGAGAAGCTCCTGAGAGGTGCTTGGAGTCCCCACAACCAGCAGTCTGTACTTTGCTGGAGTCGACAACTTGGCTCCTTCACACAGGCAACTGTACACAGTCTGCAGTTGGCCTCTGGAGTCAGATGCAGAAATCCTCACCCCATGGGGGAGAGAGGATCAGTTGTTGACTGGCATTGTCCAGGGTCGGGGAGGAGACACAAAGAGCCAGTCCAGAGCTCTGGAAAGATACACTGGAGGAGCCGGCTCCTAGTCCTCCTCAAGGCTGTATTCCATGTGACCATGTCAGTGTGTCTGTTGCAAGCGGTAATCCCGTTTTTGGATCCAGTTCTGGTCTATGGGCATGATGGTCTCAGGGACAGTCTACTGCTCAAGACTGGGGGCAGGAGAGGCAAGGACCAGTCTCATGTTGGGAGGATTATTGGATTAGGCAAGTATATCTTGGCTCTCCTCACCCCAAGACAAAAATGATCAGTTAACCCATGCAGCGCAGGCACAGCCCCACTGAGTGGGACTAAAACGGTTCTGCTTTAACTCTGAACTTTCTGTTTCCATGGCTGGCTTTGTAGTAGGAAGCTGTGATGGGCCTGTGATCACAGACAAAAAGATCCTCAATTCTGAGGGTTTGGTGATAGAACAAACTTTCTGCTTTTTCCTTTTTCAGAAAACGTTATTAGGAAATTCCTAATAAAATATTCTGAAATACAAAGTGTACATAATGATGCTGAGTTTGTTGGAGCAGGCTCTGCTTCCACTTACATCATATCTGGACTCTGTAACAAGACAAGTAAGAACAGGTGGATCAGGGTACTAAATGCTAATTCAATAACTAAATGTGAACATATTTTTATTGTTGTCTGTTGCAACCAGTCAGCTTTGACCAAAGGTCTGTAGGTGCTGTAGGTGTAGGCCATTTACATACTTCATGGAGCCCGAATGGAAAACATCTAGGATATTGCTAAGAGACACCTAGCTGTTACTCTCACCGTTGCCATCACAGGAGCGAGCTCTCAGATGCTGAACTCTGAGCTACTGCATTAGAGGAGAGAATGAGCATGTGATGGGTCTGAATCAGAGAAGATCTCACTCCTGTGATGGTGGAGGTGAGCAGTAATAGTTAGGTGTCTCTTAGCAATGTCCTGGGAGTGTTCCAGTCAGGCTTCATGAAGTATATAAATGGCCTACAACTATAGCAAGGACATTATTCAACTTCGGACAAAGCTGAACAGTTTGTTTTTCATCTACAGATGTCCTTTATCTGCATTAACAACTTTCTGATAAAGGTGAACTATGCCTTCAACTCACCATCCCTTCTTCTTCTTGCTACCTCTAGCCCTGTACACTTCTATAACAGGTCAGCGGTGGCTGCAGGTATCTGTGGCTTTCTGCCCAGCCAGCGATTATCTGCAAGGATTCCTGCTGGATGCACTGTGTGCATAATCTGCAGATAATTGCTGGGGGGAGGGGACTGAAAAGGTAGTGCAGTTAGTGTTAGTGTAGGGTCCTGCTCAAAAGAGTCTATCTTGTTGTGGTGGCGGGCTTCATATTTTTTGCCCAAAATATAAGTCCTTACTGTTAAATCTTGAAAGCACTGATGACTTGGAATACACTTTTCATTTTCATACACTAAGTTGGATTTGATTTGAAATGTGAATGAAATTAATTTCTAGTCAATGAACTGAGCAAAGCCCAATGTATGGCTACATGAGCAGCAAGGATGGAGATTGGAGGGAGGGGTTTACAAAACGGGATAAAGGATTTTTATTTTCCTTCATCCACTATGGCCATTTCATGTAAGTATGGACACATGGGACAGGCGGCTCTTCTATTGTGGGATTCTTCATTTTAGTGTGAAGGACTTGAGCTGGAGGCCTCTCATGACCAAGTACGAGATCTCCTCTATGGGAAAGCGCCCTGGAAATGAGAGAGGATTTCCGGTAGGCAATTGTATGGCGATCTTGTCTTGCTCAAACTGGAAACAAACCGTCTGACCTCTCCTGGAAAGGGAAGAAGCTTTCTTTCAGCTCTTCTCCCCAGACATTGTCCACCTTTGAGTTTGAGAGTATCTTCTGCTTGTCTTCCTGGATTTCAAATTGAGAGTTAAAGTGTAGCACTAAGTTCTTATCATCTGTTCCCAAGTTTATGGCAACTCTTTACAGCCCTCCAGAATGGAGCCCTCCACCTCCACGGAGTGACAAGGTTTTAGGCCAATTTTCTAAAAGAAAAAAGTATTGTGTTATCCTGCTTCCTTATCAGAGACACTTATTAAGTAGTAAGATTGTTCAAATAAAAATGGGTGCACTGAAGGAGTCGGTGGGATGGCCAGTGGGTGGACTCGGTGGGGTGGCCAGTGGGTGGGCCTTGGGAAATGTTGGTGGTCAGGCCTAGACCTAAAGCTGTGTAGGGGGCCCCAAAATTTTTCTGATGACTGTCCTGCTTATCCCTTTAGTACATTAAACAATGGACTGATACTGC